TCTGGTCCTTAGCAGTTCTCAAAAATAGACAACATTTTGGCCTTCTTTTTGTAAAATAAATGATGAAATGGTATAATATGTCATGTGTTGTTGTTCATCTGAGGTTGTATTTACCTACTTTTGAGAACTGCTAAGGACCAGATGATTTTTATTATGTCCTGATATGTAAAACCATAGAACTCAAAGGGGATGTACTTTCTTTTTCACACAACTGTATGAATATATGATTACATGTATGTTCACCCCACAGTAAGTTCCACTGATTTCATGGGACATCTTAGAAACAAATATGCAAGAGATAGCACTCTAAAAAAGTGACAAACTGAATTTTCAGTAAATATCTACTCTCATTGTGTGTGTGTGTGTGTGTGTGTGTGCCTCTGAGTCAGTGTTGGCAGTTTCCTTGACAAGGTTTTTCAGAAGTAGTTTGCCATTGCCTGCTTCTTAGGGCTGAGAGAGATTGACTGGCCCAAGGTCACCCAGCTGGCTTCATACCTAAGACAGGACTAGAATTCACTGTCCCCTGGTTTTTAGTCTGGTGCCTTAACCACTACATCAAACTGGCTCCCTCTGAAATATTAGAGCAACTAATACCTTTTTATTCATCAAACCTAACTGAAAATCTGATCTTTCCTGTGGTGCCTTATAACGACCCTTGTGACATAACAACCACATTCAGCAGGTATTAAACTTTATCACCAATTACATTTTTCTGATATTGGACAGATGTCATCTTAGAACTGTCTACTTGAATGTATGTGAAATGGATTTTTTAAAAAAAATCCTATAGAAGTAGGCAAAGTGGTTATTGATACTAACTGCTATCTACAAGAAAAATGGCTAAGAGGTTTTTTTAGAAAATGAAAAGATTTTAAAAATCCACAAAGCAGGCAATGAAAGCAATAGTCTAACTGTTCTTATTTGTTATATTTATATCCTGCCTTTTCTACAGGAACTCAAGATAGTTTCTATGGAGACTGCCCTTTCTCTTACCTAGCTCACTAAAAACCCAAGAGGTAGTTTGGGTTGAAAGAGAGCAACTGCCTCAAAGACAGCAGGTTTCCATGGCTAAGAATAGGCTTGAATCCTGGGTCTCTCTGGTCCCAGTCCATAATTCTATTACCCTGGCTGAGAGCAGCCTAGAAAAGTGCAGGACTACCCTGTGACTCCTGTTTTGCAGACACTTTTCATCCCATGACACTGAACAAAAACAAAGAAACAAACAAAAACAGTTTAGCGTAACTTTCTCAAGCAGTGAACAGAGGCAAGAACCTAACTATAGAAGAAACCTAGAACTGAATCAGGCAGCCTCCAATATAATCCTGAAAATAAAATTTTCTGAAGAATCAAATCAGGCTCAGAACAAAATACTATTGTCAACGTACACCTAAAGGTAGTTAAACTTCTGCCTTTAATAATTTTAATAGTTAGTTATGCTTACTCTAGCACAGAATAATTCCATTATTCCTTCTTAACAATTAAAAAATATCTACAACATTGTACTCTGTTATAGTTAAGCTTCTTTCCCAGTAAAACAGGTACAAAATTGGGTTGCAAATTCCACTGATTTCTGAGTTTACCAGAATTCACTACTGTAATTTTTGTAACCTTCTCTTAACAGAGCAGTCCTTCTGTTTCATAATTCCACTCAGTCAGCTTCAGATACTTTTTTTTAAATACCAGCATGATTGTTGGCTCTGAAATTCATGTCTTAACAAAACCTCAGATTCTTCCCTGAGCCTCAGATCACAGAAGCACCTCTTTCAGCTTTTTTGTCTAATACCAAAACTTAACAAACATCCAGGAGGAAAAAAAGAGACAAATATCATAGTATAATCCCCAATTTAAGTAACTCATTGCATGTGTGGGTATTTGGATGAGCCCCTTTAGGAAACTTAAAGCTGAAGCTGGTTTAGGCAACATAATTAAGGTACAAAAACAAGCAGCAGCAAAGTATATGGAAAAAGACAACTTCTTTAACGCATGTGCCTTGCAGAATGTAAAATGGTTTGCAGCCAGAAAAGCATATACTGTAACATGATAGGAGTGGCATTCCCTAACAAATCACAAAACTTCTCTAGGATAACTTCCACTGTGCTTCAATCACTTATTTTCCTAGTGCAAAAATGTATTTTCCCCTCTGTAATAGGTTTTCTGCTATAACAAAAGGATGGGAGATAGAGTTGGTAAGCTTTGGGACAGTTACTACTTGGTAATGGTATCTGAATAACATATAAAATTCGTGAATGAGGGAGAACATTTTTATTATAAAAGCCTAATATGTAAGCAGTAATCTTCTCTGTTTCTTCAGGTATTGCAGCATATGCTAGGATAAAGCAACAAGGAGCACTCCTTGCCTGCAAGAGCCTGTCACTGTCCTCTCTTTTGTGACTCCAACTGAGAATGTCTCTTTCTTGCAGTCTCTGCGCAACAACTTAGGTTCTCTTTTTTACTCACTTTTCCGCAACACTCCATCTCAAAGCTGGTGCCCTCCAAATGTTCTGGACTTCAACTCTCATCTGTTTTAGCAAACATTCCAGTCACAAAGAATTGGGGAGCTGAAATATAAAACACTGCTTACCCCTATTCTATCTGCTTAGGCAGCATACCTATTTAGGTCTTGGGTGGAGAATCTTTTTTAAAATTATTATTTGGGAATTAAACTTTTTTTAAAATAGTCCCATTTAGGGACTATAAAAACAGGGCTGCGGGCTGCATGAGGCCCAGAGATGGTGGGTGGCACTCTTCTCCTTTAGGAGGCACTTCTTTTAGCAAGGCTATCCAGTATATATCAGCAAAATGAGATAGTATGCTATTTTTCCTCTCTTTTATTAGGAACTAACTGTTCAGTGAAGGCTGCAAAACAAAAAGCTTAACTACTCAATATTCATAGAGAAGGTGGACAGCCATCTGTCAGGGATGCATCCATTTAGATTGTTGCCCTGACAGAGATTGGAGCCAGTGCAGTAAATGGACTCTTTCAACTCTTGCTCTCAGCCAGCTATAGTACCCATAAAATGGGGCAAGAGATAGGAGGCAGAATCAACCGCTAACCTTCCTATCTCAAAGAGTAACAAAGATCAAAGGATGAAAATCATTTTGACTGAACAGTCCCTTTCTTTTTAGACTCAAGAATAAGGAGGGCAGATTAAGGTTTACTGTTTGATGACCTTTTTTTCACCCACTTGGTTGTTCTTCCTTTAAAACAAATGTGAAAATAAATATCACATTTCCTTCTTCAAAAACTTATGTGGTCATATGTACTTGGCAGGATAACTGCTCACACAAACGAACAGATAGTAACTGCTATCTGTAGCAGTTCTGTAGAGGTTCTTCAGCAGCAAGAAGAACAAGCCCAGGCAGAGTCTGGGCGCTCTGTGTTCTCTCCCCGGCCCCCACTTTTTCTCTCACCAACCGGCCTGCTGCCACCTCCACCACATGTCAGGTTACCTCCTAGCCTGGCAAACTCCCTCTGGCACAACCCTTGCAGATCCTCTCCACCGTAGCCATAAGCAGCACCCAAGGGGAGCTTGTTTTGGAAAGTCTGGAAAGATAACAGCTCTCCCCACGGCTCCTCAGCCATTGCAGATAACCGAGCTTTCTCGAAACAAGAGACGAGCAACAAACGTATACGACAGAGCCCAACTCAATAAAAGAAGCTCAGTTTACAGGAGAGAACGGCGGCCCGGACTCCTCCCACTAGCTCCTCCCACAGAGATAGCGACAGTTCGTTCCTTGCAAATCTGCCTATTCCCGTCAGGTCAGCAAATTGGCTATCTCCGGCAGCGATCTTTACGAACAGAACGGAGAGTATTCCTGAATACATGGAAGGGAGGGGGGGGGGACTACAATTGCTTTAAAAACCGAATTTGAAAAAAGATGAAAATGCAATATGGACAATAAAAACAACCCTTAAAAATCTCAACCAGCGTCTTTTAATTATTTCATTATTACTCCTTTGTAAAGATTCTGTTTGCAACACAAACTGCATAATGAGGGTTTTGTTTGCTGCTGAAGCTGCAGGGTGACGACCGTGCTATAGCGTTGACACTTCTGACCTGTACCTTCCTCTGACTTTCCTTTGTAAATAAGGCACAGTTTGAAAGGGGTAGAAATGGTATCTCAATCTGCGTTTGTCACAAGCAGCAGTAAGTAAAACTGAGTAGGAGACACAGACATGCGAATGTGTTGTTACTGTGTATCGTATTTCTACAAGTTGTTACTTGGGGCTGTGTCCAACAACCACGTGTCTCTCAGTGACTTGTAGTTGCTGCTCACGGATGTTCTAGATATGGTAAATTACATAAGTCTACCATTAATGAATAACTTTTGATCAAGGTGCCCTAACAAGTTTTTTTTTAAATTCTAGTTAACATGAATTGACATGTATGAAAAAAATCTCTGTATTGGTTTTTGGCAGATTTACAGATTATTATTTACAAAGATCAGCAAAGTAATATGAATGAAAAGAGTCCCTCTGTTTGGTTGGCAAGCTCTGAATTTAATATTTTATAGTTCACACAATATGCAAGTTGCTCATCAGAGAGGAAAGGGCAGCCCTACTTGAGATCAAGTTATTCATGATGTCAAGATTTGCTTGCTTTTGCCTTAGTCGCCACTAGCTTTATGCATGATACTGGATATTATGTTTTTATAACAAATCATTGTAAAAAAATCTAGTGGAGCATTATATACAAACTCAGATGGAAATGTGGGAAAGGACAAAGAAAAATATATGTGTCAGTGGGACTTTTATTTAAAAATCCAAATAAGTATTTAGAGAGAAAAAGCAAGAATAAAATAATTGATAATTGGTATTCAGTGACATACTAGAAAGTGCATGAGGAGCTAAAAAAAGAACAGAAGCCAAACATAGGGTACAGGAGAAGGATAGGGTTTAGGGAAAGAAATGCTCCCTATGGAGAAGAAGGGAAAGAACTGAATCACAGCATTCAGGATACCAGGCAACATTCTGCATCATGCAAGAATCCACACAAGACAAATAGTGGTCAAACTGCTAGAAAATTTGTCATAACATTCAGTCAGAACCTGTCTTCCTGTCACTCTTTTTGCTGAGTTTGAGTCCTAGCCTTCCATGGCTATGTTCCAGTCATATGTGTCATCCCCACCAAATTTCAGTGATCCTTATGACATCATATTTGTCCTCCTGTGTTATGACTTCAAGTTCTCCCTGTCTGTGTCCCATACTCTATGCACTGTTGCAGAATATCTGAAATTGTGAATGGTGGCCCCTACTGGCTTTACTATTGTAAATGCCTGCAAATCCCATGGTGTTCCTTCTGCTGTCATGGTTTTTGCATTTATTCTCCTCATTGCATTTGATTCTCTTCTATCAGCAATATAGACAGCTCCATTATTCCCCGGGGGTACTCTTATCATTGTTTCCAATTTTCTACCTATAATAGGTATAACTTTCACCAAAACAGATGGATCTAAACATCTTCTTTGTACCCACTCCTTGCTTAAAATAATGTTAGCTGTAGGCCAGACAATGTCAAATTCTCTTAGGGAAGGGGGAAATTTTGTGTGTGATTTATTTTCTACTTCCACATCCCACTCATTGGTCTGGTGAATATCCAGCTTGGTTCTTATAATCCCTGCATCCTCCTCCCCATCTACAGGAACAATTTTAGATGTATTTGAAATCAAACTGTTGCTTGCTGTGGAGTGGATCATAATTTCCTGCAGGAGAGACATTCTCTTCATTATTTCTTCTTGCACCTCTAGGGATGAGTCAAGAAAGTATTCGGAAGTGTCTTTTCCTCAGGAAGGAAACCCTCTGTTACTTGAACTGGCTCTTGAGGCCCTTTTCTTAAGAGATAAAATTATGCACATGTATTAATCCCCTTAATCGGATGGCTGTCGTAAATTAAGGCAGGCTGCTTCTCAGTCAAAATCTATGAGATTGCACACATTGTTACCTTCATATACAGAGATCAGATTGTTGTTCAAACTTAGCACTAAGGCTTCTTCTGTTAGTAGTACAGATATAAGGAAGGTTTAAAAAACAAACAAACTATGTTTTAACAAAACTGAATTTCGTTTTTCCCCTAGTCATATACTGATCTATGCAACAAACAGATGTCCCTGAAAGTTGTGTTCACCTAAGAACATTAAACCAAGGATATTGCATATCTGCAATTCAGGTTTTATCAATAGATGAAGGGCTAGTAGGCTCCAGTATTAGAGGATTCATAGGATCTTCAACTGATAGTATCTCATCTTCCATCTGTATTTCCTTCTCTAAAACTGTTTGCCTTCTGAATGATCTTTAATTTATGTATTGTCAAAGGCTTTCACGGCCGGCATACAATGGCTGGTGTGGGTCTTCCGGGCTGTGCGGCCGTGGTCTTGAAGTTTTGTTTCCTAACGTTTCGCCAGCACCTGTGACCGGCATCTTCAGAGTGCAGGAGCACAGACAGG